TTAACCGTTCACGGTTGAAATTTTCCGCTCGCGTTCGCGATTCGCTTTCCTGGCCATAAAGTAGCACCTAACTAATAAAACTTTACTTATCATATATATACATATATATGTATATATACAGTATAAATCAATAGTTCAACGCGACATCCTGTTTTTCTTTTAAATTTCCTTTGATTTGCTTGGAGGCTTTTACACGTTTGCCGCTTGCCTGCCTTTTTTTAACCTTGAGGCTTACTTCAGTGTCTATTTATTGGCCCTAATCAAATCAGTTTTTTAATTGTGCCAACGTAATTTGATTTGCTTTTGCTTTTAAGTGCTGTTGAGGACGTTTCTAAACAACGTTGTGTGTGTGTGTGTGTGTAACATCAATGTCGTTTTGTTGTGCACACTCGAGTTAATTGATTAACTTGGCCGGCTCCAGTCTGTGACAGGGGGCAATAAGTCAAAAACCGTCTATATATATAAATATATATATCAGCTGGCAACTATTATTGCAATCAAGTGCGTCAAGTGCTTTGCCTTTCTGGGCGTTGGCGCTGAGCTGTGCTGATGACTGCCTTGCCAGCACCCAACAACGCACCTAAGCACCCACTCACAAGCAGTGCAGAAAAATACATTTTATCTTTATGTGCCACTTATAAAACACAAAAAACGACTCTCATATGACAACTGCAAATTAACACTAATCATTAGCTAAAAATTCGCTCGACAAATGCTGCACAGCTGGCAAGAAAGTCAATTATTTATTGCACGACTGCTGAGACTAGTATATTTATAGTTCTGCAAAGATTAATTAACATTGGCTTGCCAAAAATTATCAAATTCAGTTTGCTATTATTTAGATTTAGTGATCTCATGGTATATATGAAGAGAGAGGCGATGATAAATATTTTTAATAAATAACGTAACTGTAACTTAAGTTAGTTAACTAAACTAGCTAAACCAGCTGGCTAGGTTAAACATCAATAAAGTTTATCTACGCCAGTCTCTGAGGATCAACATTGCAGTGATATCATTTAGCCTAGGCACATTGTTGTTGACTGTAGATAATACTTGCCTGACGACTTGCATATGCAGTATAAATCTGAGATACAGTTGAGATCTGCCTTATCGTATATATATATATGACACATTTACAAATATTTTTTTCTTAATTATTTTTAAATCAATATGCTCAGCTTGCCATTGTTGGTCTTGATTAGTCATCACTGTCCACAATTAGTCACATTTGTAATGAGAGAGGCTGAGTAATGAAATTGGGCAACCCAAAACCACAACTGCAACAAACTGAAGCTACTCAGAGTGCTGCAGTGCAGAGCCATCGACTCAAAAATACCCTATATTCTGAAACGAGTTTAGCAACTAACAGAAATGGGGAAGAGCTGTCTTGGAATACCCACAGGTCCCTTATCAGCATACTGTAGACCTTTAATGAACTCTACCGATTTTGTGTGAATGCGAAAGCATCTTCAAAGCACCACAGCCAGAAAAATATGTAGTATTCGAGGCAAACATGTTTTAAACTCGGAGAAAATAAAAATCATCAACCGAATAATGCTTCTGACAGAAGGTGATCTGACCCCCAATTATAATAGTAATAATAATAATAAAGAGGTGACTTGCGAAAGATATAAAGGTCATACCTTAATGAAATCAGAAACAGAAAGTCGGGGCAAGGTACACAGCAAGAAAATCAGACTACCTGTAGTTATACTCTAAAAAAAACATATATATGTGAAAGAAAAGTGTTTAAAAATTAAAATGGTTGCGAAAGGCAAAAGTTGTTCAACTGAAGGTTGTTTGACTTGAGTGGAGCGCTGTTTGAGCGGTTGGTGTGTGGCGGAGCGGTTGCTGCCACACTGTGTGGCAGGCAGTCTAGGAAGACATTCAACCTTGCGCAACTTAATGATACCGCTTTTCTAGTCATACAGGGTATAGCAGAAAAAAAAGCGAAATTAATGTGGCACAGACATGCAATCAGAGGGGGCAGTTACTGTTGCACCTACCAGCCCAGCTTGACAGTCTGACTAACTGTCTGCCCCTTTTGGCTGCTGGTTACACGTCACTGCACAGGCGTGAAAAAGTATCTCATGGTCGTCTCTCGTCGCACGTCGCACGTTGCACGTCTCTTATTGTGCGGGTGCACGTGCACTCGCTTTTAGTCAGTCTCAGTCTCAGTTTCAGTCTGTGTTGGGAATGCCGCAAGCTGGCCGTGATTTTCAGTGTTTTTTTCACACAGGCACACACACATGCCACATGCCGCACGCCACTTGAGTAGCGGCACAAGTAGCGGCAGTCATGCCATTAGCAGCCCTCATTTCACACTCGAGCTCCTCACTTGAAGTTGACTTGACCAGAAATACCCCCATAACCAGCCCATCCCCCTTTCACTGTTTGAGGCGCAACAATTTTCAGCTGCCGCGTGCCTCAAATTTTATCGATTCTCACCATGCCTGCCGCCTGCCGCCTGCTGCTGCTGCTGTTGCAGCTCTTGGTGGTAGTTCCTGTTATTTTTTGTGTGTGTTTTTGGACGCATCAAATAAATATATCCTTCCGCTTTATGTTGCGCTGAGCTCTCTCTCTCTCCCTCTCTCTCTCCCTCTCTCTCTCCCTCTCTCCCTCTCTCAACTCATCCGGCAACACAAATGGGTTTCATTTGCCGCCGGCGCCTGCGGCTAGGCAATGATTTCTGGGTTCAGCTTTCAACCCTGCAAACCCTGCCAATTTCGCCACTCTCTCTTTGCCTCTCTTTCTGTCTTCTTCTTTGATTTGCTGAATATGTACTGCGTTTACCGCTTGTTCTGTTCGGCTCGGCTCGGCTCGGCTCTGTTTGGCCGTCCTGGGCGGCGTCAGTTCCTTGCCAATTGTCAAGCTGAGAGCAACAAAGCGACGACGAGCGCGCGACAAAAAAGCAAAAAACGAGCACGAACACAAAACCGAAGCCGAAGCCGCGAAATAGAAACACGAAGCTTAAGTCCCGTTGTAGTCGTTCCAAAGGCAGCTAGTCACTCAGTCGGCACTCAGTCGGCAGTCAGTCAGTCAGCAGCCAGCAGTCAGTTTGCTCCTCGCACGCGCGCGTCCTCTTTGCTCCCTAGTGTGTAGCCTAGACTTCAGTCAGTAGTAGCCTTTTATTGTAGTATACCTTTTTGGGCGCGGCAAACGAGAAACGTGTAGAGAAGCCCCCTCCTCCCCCGCAAACACAAAAAGAAATTAAGAAACTAAAGCTAAACAACAACTTTTGGCCATTTATTAAGACGAGCAAACCACCAAAAAAAAATCACGAAAATATACATTTAACGAAAAAAGGAACCAACAGAAGCAATACAATTTAAGCGTGTGTCTGTCCATATATATATATATATAAATATATATATATATATGCCTGTGTGTGTGTGTGTGTTTGTGTGTGATCTACTCTATTGAAGCCAGAGAGTAAAGCTTAGCTGCATTGTGATTTCATTTTACCTGCAAAAAACCCAAACAAAACACAACTTTTACACACACAAGTAAAAGAAAAGCAACAAAAAACATTCCCTTTTGTGACCAAATTTTTTACCAAACAACTTAACATAAAAACTAACCAAAAAAAAAATAACAAAACAAAAAAACAATGGGTTTGTGCGCTTCTAAGGATAAAAAGGAGAAAGTGATCGAAGGCGATGGCGCCGCAACCGCCAACGGTGGCGGTGGTGGTGGGGAGCAGCCAAATGGCAGCGCCACAGCGGCTGCCTCAGATACAACGGCTGCTGCCGCCACGGATGGGTGTGTATACAGCGTGCTTCTTCTTCTACAATCTTCTTTCTTTTTTTTGTCATAGGTCCTAGAAATATGGTAGTCTCTGCTCTGCGTGTGTGTGTATGTATATGTGTGTGTGTGTGTATGCTGACGTCAGGCTGCCCGAAAAATGTTAAGTGCGATAAAAATATTATTGCCCTGGTCTCTGACCGACAAGTCGAGACCCAGGCAAAAGCCGGGACGACGAGCCCACTCGTGTGCCGCGCGCATGTGCCGCTCTCAGCGGGCAGCGGGTGGGTGGGCGGAGAGAGGGTTGGGTTGGATTGAGGTGGGCGTGTGCGTATTCAGCGACAGCCGGCAAAAAGTACTGTTTTGTCAGCTATGCAACAGCAAAGCACCACCGACACCAACACCGACACCATTACCAGCATAATTGCAGAGCAACCACCAACAGCAGCAGCAGCAGCTGGCGGGGTTAATGGATTGCTTTAAAATTGCACAGTCGCGTGTCCATAAGCGATCCAAAAACTCAATTCAAAGTCATTGCCGACTTTTGGGCGCCACAATTGATTGAAATGTCTAAAAGGCAAAAGAAGCAAGCCCAAAATTAAACAGTTCGCAGACAGACAAGTTGTCATAATTGGAGAGAGAAAATAAATTGATATAGATAAAGTAGTTAGAGTCGTTAGTACACTCAGCAAAAAAGCGAGATAAAATGCCAATCTAATTTTATGAAATTTGTTCTTACTTAGATAAGATTTCTAAAAGCGGGAAAACTTTATTGTTTTCAAAGCGATTAAAATTGAATAAGGAAATGTAAAGAAAGAAATCCATTCTTATTTTTTGTAATACTTTTTCTTATACTTAGAGATTATTTTTAAAAACAAGATCAACTTTTTAGTTTTTAGATCCATTTTTGTCCAAGCATATAGCTAATATCTTTTAGGTTAAGTCCAACTGTCAAATGAAAAATGAAAAAACTGCAAAATACACTTCTTTCAAGTTATAAACTAAAAACAGAAAAATCCAGTTTCTTTGGTTTAATAACATCAAATAATTGTTGGGCTAAGAAATACCATGAAATAAAACACGCCACAAGGTATAATTCTGTGCCCAAGCCTAGTTTAAGAAACCTAAAGCATTTTGAATATATAACTAACAAATTCTGAGTCTACTAGAAAAACCAAATCCGTTTTATATACTTGAACAATGAACTCTTTTTAAATATCTAACTAACAATTTGTGGGGCAATTTTGTGCTTGCAGCAAACAAGACACCATGGTTGACGCTGCTGTTCTCGCTAAACTGGAGGAGGGTTATGCCAAGTTGGCTGCCTCCGACTCGAAGTCGCTGTTGAAGAAGTACCTGACCAAGGCGATGTTCGATAATCTAAAGAACAAGGTGACACCGACCTTCAAGTCGACCCTCCTCGATGTGATCCAGTCTGGTTTGGAGAATCACGACTCTGGCTGCGGCATCTATGCACCCGATGCTGAGGCCTATGGCGTGTTCGCCGATCTGTTCGATCCCATCATCGAGGATTACCATGGTGGCTTCAAGAAGACCGACAAGCATCCGGCCTCCGATTTTGGTGATGTGACCACCTTCGGCAACGTTGATCCCACCAACGAGTATGTGATCTCGACTCGTGTCCGTTGCGGTCGCTCCATGCAGGGTTATCCCTTCAACCCCTGCCTAACTGAGGCCCAGTACAAGGAGATGGAGTCCAAGGTCAGCAGCACCTTGTCCGGCCTTGAGGGTGAGCTGAAGGGCAAATTCTATCCCCTCACCGGCATGGAGAAGGCCGTCCAGCAGCAGCTGATCGATGATCACTTCCTGTTCAAGGAGGGCGATCGTTTCCTGCAGGCAGCCAACGCTTGCCGCTACTGGCCATCTGGTCGTGGTATCTATCACAACGACAACAAGACCTTCCTGGTCTGGTGCAATGAGGAGGATCATTTGCGCATCATCTCCATGCAGCAGGGTGGTGATCTCGGCGAGATCTATCGTCGTCTGACCACCGCCGTCAATGAGATCGAGAAGCGTGTGCCATTCAGCCACGATGATCGTCTTGGTTTCTTGACCTTCTGCCCCACCAATTTGGGCACAACCATTCGTGCCTCGGTGCACATTAAGGTGCCCAAGCTGGCCGCCAACAAGGCCAAGCTGGAGGAGGTCGCCGGCAAATACAATCTGCAGGTGCGCGGCACTCGTGGCGAGCACACCGAAGCCGAGGGCGGTGTCTATGACATCTCCAACAAGCGTCGCATGGGTCTCACCGAATACCAGGCCGTCAAGGAGATGTACGATGGCATCACCGAGCTCATCAAGCTCGAGAAGAGCCTGTAAGCTCGCTCTCCACTCACCAAAAGAAGCAGCAACTCCTCTGCCTCGGACTAAAAACAACATCTCAGCGAGCCCGATCAGACGGAGTCCAATGCCAATTAATCAATCAGTTGGAAATTACTACTTCAGCTGCTCCTGTTTGCTTTAGTTTTGTAGTAGGATTTTGTAGCGCTGCGGAGCCGGTGGGAGGCAAGCAGCGGGCGGTGGCAACAACAACTGCAGTTGGAGCTGCGGCACTCGGCATTTGTCGTCTCTACTTTGGAGTGTCGTGGTCAAGTCAAGTAGATTAACTGCTGCTGCTGCTGCTGCTGTTGCTGCTGTTGCTGCTCTAACAACCACCAACCACCAACATACAACAACAACACCAAACTGCACACTACACCCACAACAACAATAATAACAACAACAAGAACCAGAATAACAACAATTGGGAAAACTATTTCACAAAATATTTGCTTAAAGAAAAGAAAACAAAAGAATGTAAAACATTTTGACATTTGTGTCAAGCAAAAAAACAAACAACAACAAAAATGAAAATGAAAACTTTAAATACTTTTATTTTAAGTCTTAAGTTTATAAAAGAATTAAAATTATAAAAAAAAGAAAATAATAAAAAAAATCAAAAAAAAAGTGTTGGCATTTTTATTTGAGCTTGATTTTTAGATAGAAAATTTATAGATTTATTTATTGTATTAAATGAAATTTGAAGAGCATTAATTATCGATGCAATGATCAGATAATGATAGCTTTATAATTAAAATATACCTCAGATAATGATAGCTTATAGCTGATAGATATATTAGATCAAATTTAATCTGAAAAGTTTTATTATTTTTATTATTGATCGAAAATGAACTGAGAAAGGATCGCCCCTAACTTTGAGCTGGAGTATCTCAGATATTTCAGATATTGACGGATATATATATTATATTAAAGGCAATTTCAAAACTTGATTTATCATTAAAAAAAATGCCATAGATAAGCAAAGCAATGTATCTTATATGAAAGGAAATTTGAAAGTTTGAATTATTAATGGAAAATAAGCTTTTTTGCTGGATTATCTTGAATAGGGGTAGATATATTTAACTTTAGAAAATACCATAGATGATGATAGCTCTATATATTAGTTTAAATGCAAATTTAAAGTTGAAAAAAAGAACATCCTTAACTAGGAATAAGGATAGCCAAGGAATCTTTGCTACGATTATAACTAGCTGTAACTACAAATAAAAAAATCAAATGGGCAATTTTTATATGATGAGCGTTCGCCAATTTATTGATACTTGGCTGATGAACAACGTAGTCTGTGATTGATCATAATAAGTTGAGGGTTGAGTTATTTCCTCGTCTTTCTGCTCTCCTCGCACTCGGCCTCAATCAGAGCACTGATCCCTTTGTGCATCTCGGCGACAGCTTCGTATTCGGTGAGACCCATGCGACGCTTGTTGGAGATGTCATAGATGCCGCCGAGAGCCTGGCTATATTCGCCAAGAGTGCCCCGCACCTGAAGATGATGCTTTTTGGCCAGTTCGAGAAAGTTCCGACGGTTGGAGGCGAGCAGCGGCAGCTTAATGTGAACGGATGCGCGAATTGTGCAGCCCAAATTGGTGGGACAAAACGTGAGATTGCCCAGACGAGCGTCACGACTGAATTTCAAAGAGTGCGCCAAGGATTCGACACCGACAATCATCCGTTCATAAACGCGACCCAAATCGCCGCCCTTCTCCAGCGCAATGACCCGAATGTGATCCTCCTCATTCACCCAGATGACAAAGGTGCACGTCTTGTTGATGAAGATGCCACGACCCGTCGGCCAGTAGCGCAGGGCATTCGCCGACTTGAGGAAACGATTCTTGCCCTTGAAGAGCAGCCCGGCATCGACCAGCTTCTGTATATCATCCGAATCCATGCAGCCGAGCGTGTGATACGAGCCAGCATGCTCGTTGCACAAGGCACGCAACGGTTTCTTGATCAGACACTCCAGATCCTTGTAATTGCGCTTCGTTAGGCACGGATTAAAGGGGAATCCCTCCACGGATCGAGCACATCGCACGCGGGTGGAGACAATGAATTTTTGCTCGGGATCCAGATTGGGAAAATCAGAACCATAGCCAAAGCAGGTGGCCGGATGTTTGTCCGTGTGCTTGAAGCCCGTGTGATAGGACTCGATAATCGGATCAAAGATCTCGGCAAATGTTTTATATGCTCCCGGATCGGGTGCATAGATGCCAACGCCCGATTCGTGTCTACACAGACCGGAACGTATGCAGTCCAACAGCGTCGAACAATATTTTGGCGTCATTTTACACTTGAGTCGATCGAAAATCTCTTTGGTTAAATGCTTCTTTAGCAGCGATTTCGATTTGGATTTCATCAACTTTTTATAGCCCACCTCCAATTGTTCCAAAACTTCTTTGGAGACGTTGCCACACGTGCTGCAAAGGCATCTGGTCAATGCTGTTAGCGGCATATTCCGGCGCATCGTCAACGATATCATAATTATAAAATTACTGAAAATAAAATTTTGAATAAAAAACCAACAAAAAAAACCGAAAATTTCAAATTTTGTCAAGTAAAATTATGGAATGTCCGCATTGAGTTAGCTATTTTAAGCGATGTGGCAACGCTGACTATGTTGTGCACAAAAACTAACGTAGCAGCTCAAGTGAACAATAAGAACGAACTAGTTCAACGATCAATTGCGAGCCAATACATTCAGTTTCGTTTCGTTTGGTGCGTCTCGCCAAAGGCTGATTGTTTTAAGATGGTGCAGGTTTGGTTTATGGACAGCGATGAAAGCGATCAGCGTTTGCAACACAAACGCCAGCCAGCTGAATATTTGGATATGCAGGCGCTCTATAAAAGAACCGGCGTGGAATACTTTAAGGTAAACTCAACGAGCAACCTTGACGAAAGTCGCGCTTATCTGCCGTTTACCCCCTCCCCCTTTTCTAGATCAATGCGGACGACTATGTGAACGATAAGCAGCTGATTGAGCTGCGCAGCAAACGCGGCTACAGCTACGAGGATGAGGTTTGTGCAGTATAAGTAGTATAAACAATTACTGATTATATTGCCATGCAGATCACCTGTTCGGAGCAGTGCCTGCCGGATTATCTCAACAAGCTAAAGTCATTTTATACGGAACATTTGCATACAGATGAGGAAATTCGACTGGTGCTCGATGGTTCCGGTTACTTTGATGTGCGCGAGTGAGTAAGCAATAATAACAGCGGTGTAAACTGTTAAATCGGTATTCACTTTTGCAGTGGCGAGGAAAACTGGTTGCGCATCGAGGTGATCAAAGGGGATTTGATAATAATTCCGGCGGGAATCTATCATCGTTTCACTCTCGACTCCAATGTGTGTACACTAATAATAATATTAATATTATTGTTTAATATCCCTCTTCTTATGCACAGAACTATATAAAAGCGCGTCGTTATTTTATTGGTGAACCTGTTTGGATGCCGCACAATCGCCCGGCTGATAAAATGGACTGTCGCAAGGCCTACTTGCAGGATCTCGCCCAATTGAGCAAAGCTTAATAACATTTACCTATATATGTAATGTAAATAATATACTTGTTTTTGTTTATTTTAACCAATTAAAAAGTTCACAGTGCGAGTTACTAAACTGAACGAAGGAACCAAAGTTTTACAGAGGACATAAGCTAGCATTCTTACTCCTCTCCTAACATTGCGCTCACAGTTCAACAACATGAGGCATCGATACTGCTGCGGCATATTTAACGACAAACCGCAAAAGTTGGTATTTTTCATTTGAAACGCGAGCGGTCATATTACTGCGTTTATTTTAAATGTATAAGCAACATTTACAAAAACAACATCGAGCGGGTTGGACGCGCTGAAACGTTGTCGGACAAAATCAGCGTAAAATTATTTTACAATTACGACTTTGTGATTTGTTTACAAACAAAGCTAACATCAATCAACAAAATTATGATATATATATATATACAGAGCGCGAGTGTTACAGGTGTAATGCAATAACATAAATTGCAAAGGTTTCACACACACACACACTGTGTAATGTGTCCCAAGTTCTTCGCGTATGTATGTGAGTTGTGTATGTGTATATAATTGAATATGCATAAGTGTTTGTGAGGCTTATCACATACATACATAAATATATACAATATATTCGGCATAGTAAACAAATCATATGCCAATTAATTGTATTCAGCAAATAAACAAACGTGCAATATAATAAAATATAAAACTATTAAACGCGATTTGTGTGCGTGGTAAAGAAAAAAAGAGTCCAAGAAAAAAATATTTGGAAAGCCGTAGAAGGCAAACCAGAAGCAGAGCGGCCAGCGACGACGCAGCAGCAGCGCCTTTCTGCAAGTGTATTAGTGTTAAAAGGCGCACACACACGTACACGTCAATGCTACATGTGCATGTGTATGTGTGCACATATATAGCAGATAAATAAGCAGGCGCACACACACATACGTGCATATACATATACATACGTAAGCAAGAGGCGGGTGTGCAAGTAATAAATAAAAGGAAATTAACAAATCCCAACCAAAAAAAAGTGAAATTTCCCATCAATAAAAAAAGCCAAAAATTGTACAATTTTTGTGCACTTCTCGTAGTGTGCGTGCGTGTGTGAGTGAGTGCGTGCGTGAGTGTGTGAGTTTTTGGGAAATTAGCATAAATTCCAAGAGGCTGGACGCCAGCGTCGACGCCGTAGCACCAGCAGCAGCGCCAACATCTACAACGAGCAGTTTAACGGATTTTCTACTCATTTTGCTCTGTGCGGTAAGTTAAACAAAAAAAAAAAAACTAAGAACATTGAATTCCATTCGCACGCTGCTGAAATTTTCATTACGTCGAAGAAGAAAAATTCAATATGTATGCCTTGACAGAGCCAGCCAGTTTACCCCCTGCCCCCTACCCATCCCCCTCCCCGTGTTGTACCCATCGCATCTGCTTCCCCTATCCAATTTAACCTCAACCGGTCTGCTGCTGCGGCCGGCGTCTGCGTCGCGTGTGCATGTGGTATGTGTGTGTGTGTGTGTGTGTGTCTGCTTGTATGTGTGTATTGAGTTCTCGTACTAGTGTGCGCTTGTCACTCGGCTCGTTAAAAAAAAAAGACCCTCTGTCGCTGCTGCTGCTGTTGACGTCGACGTCGACGTGAGCGGCTTCTTCGACACTCGCGCACATTATTTTGCAAGCTGTTGTTAGCGTACGACTTTTTTTTTTTCTATATTGACAATTTTTTTTTTACAGCTTTTACCGTGTTGTTTTTTTTCCGGTAGGGTAGGCGGTTGGTTGTCTTGTTGTTGTTGTTAGGCAGCGTTGTCGTCTCAGTGACGCCATTGCCTGGCTAGGCGCTTACTTTTATTATCTGCTGCGGCTACTATTTTCTTTTATTTTATTTTTTTTCAGCTTGTCGCTTGGTTACGTTTTTATGTTTGGCGACGGGGTTGCCGTTATCTCTATACACACACACGTTTTGTGGTTGCCATATCTCAAGCAGATGTGGGTGTATGTGAATGTGAGGATGGGGTGGGGGAGAGATTGCGTGTATTGGCGTCATTATGAATGAGCGCCCACGCTTATTTTGGGCGCCTTCCGCTTATTAAATTTGTGTTAATGAACTTTCTTTGAGCGCAGTTAAAAGAAAATCATTTTTGGTATGCAAAGAGCGAGAAAGCAGCTTATTAATTGCAATCCATTGCATTTTACACTTGAAAACTTTGCAAAATGACCACTCACACACACACACACATATATATATATATATATATATATACAAACATACGCATGCACTTGTCGTGTCGTTCAGCCTCCTCACTCGCATTGCACGCGCTGCCTTGCTTTTCCCCCTCCCACATTTTCAATTCTCTCTCTCTCTTTTCCGCATTTACGCAGAGCTAACGAACGCATTTGGCAATAGTACGAAAAGTTGCATGCTCCAAAATACGCACACATACAAACACATGTAGCTATACACGTATATATTCACTTGCTCTCTCACACTCTTGTCACATTTTATGCTGGCCGCTCTCTCACAGACTCGCACTCACACACGCACACGCAGGCTGTCGTTAGTTTTAAACTTATTTTGGCGTTCTTTATGTGCATGCATTCTCGCATACTCGCCGTCTCCTTCTCGTCTCGATGACGACCCAGACCCGCATTTTCTAGTCGTCGTTGCGTCGGCATCGGTATCGGTATCGCTTGCATTAGTGTGTGTGTGTTGAATTTATACGGCGGGTGTAGCAACCGAATATGTTCAAGTGGAGCCATGCTACGCACCTGTTTACCCATATACACACACACACACACACATCTGTCATCTGCTTTGAGTTATTGAGAAAACTGTCTCGCATCTCTTTATGCAATAATTTTCTTATTTAGGTTATGATTGTTTTTTGGCTTTTTTCTTTTGTTTCTGGTTGAAGTTGAATGCAGCTGATGATGCATTTGCCGAGAGATGCCAATCTGCTTTGCACTTGTTTGCAAACGAATTGTTGAAATAACAAACACATATATACATGTATGTATATACATATATATACGTACACATGTACGATAACTCACACGAGCTTCTCTCCATGTGCAGAGACTTACAGCAACAACAACAGCAAAATGCAGTTTAAAGCGCAACTAAAACTAAACAAGAGAGTTGAAGGGGGTCAATGGGAGATGGAGTGGGGGGTGTTGATGGGTGGGCTTTGGGGGTTATTTTAGTGTATATGGCTGCCTGTGTGTGTGTGTGTGCTTGCATTTCTACGTGTGTTTGTGTGTGTGTAGTGGACTTTATATGAAAAGTACAGTCGCTTAGTAGTGTAGTTGTACATGTGTGTGTATGTATGTATGTGTGTACATAAATTGCATGTTCATGCTTCAATAGTTGCATGCAGCGGTGGTTTCGTCGAGTTACATACATATGTTTACACACACACAAATATATATATATATACATGTATACATATATGACATGCATACATACACACACAAACACATATGCACATGTAGCTTAGCCATTGTTGACAACTAAAACAAAAGCCAAAGCCGAATGGCAACAACAGAAACCGAAACAACAACAACAACAAAAATCATCAATGCGATCCACTAAGTGATTTCGTTTTCTGAGCGAACAAGACAGAGAAAGAGAGAGAGCGAGAGTAACGGCCCCCACGCCAGCAGCAACAAGATTTTAATATGTCGCTCTCTCTCTCACTCCTATTTATATGTATATTTTGTTTAGAATTCTTCGAATTTGGTGACAACTTGAACCTAATTCAACGCCGTTATCGTTTTTGTTTTGCTTTTGCTTTTACTTTTTTATCGATAGCAAATGTCAAGTGTGCTCGATCACAGAGTATTGGGGTGGAGAGGGTGGTTGGTGGTTGGTTGCTTAAAAGCGGTAGAGAATGGGCAAAGATGCCGATGAAGTGTTGTAAAGGGTCAGTTCGGCCATACATTTGTCGTAGTGCTGCCAAGCGCTGAATTTATTGTTGACTTTTTCAAAACTCACGACACACAGCAAGCCGCACCTCCCCCTCCTCATCCTCATGCCCAACTCGACAGTTTACGCTGTTTTCGTCTTGCTGTTGTTGTTTTTATGGCATTTTTTCAGTTTTTGCTTTTTGAGCGAGGGAGTGGGAGCGAGTGAGAGAACGTCGCTGTGTGTGTGTGTGCAAGTGAGGCGGCATGCTTTACGCGGGTGATGGGGCGGCTGAGCTGGGTGGGTGGTGTTTGGGCGCTGGGTGGCCACAGCGTTGAGTGGGTTGCGTTTTGACTGAAAAAATCGATGGCAAGACATGATATATTTATTTATACAATATATATGTATATAATATATATATATATAATATATACCTTAATTTCTTTTCATAGGAGATAATGCGAAACATTGAAAATGAGTGCAGGAAAACTTTACACAAATTTGTCGGTGTCTTTTGAAAGCCGCCCAAGTTTGTTTATTGATTTTCCTAATAAGGCAAGCTGCTTTGCTTTGGGGTGGGGATGTGGATGGGGGTTGAGTATGGAGCTGGGGGATTGAGGCGCTGTCTACACCGCTTATGTATCGAAAGTTTTTCGGCAGCAAAAGCAAAGCAAACTAAAACTCAGTGCGGCTGCTGCTGCATTAGCTGAAAGGGATTCTAGGGTGGCAAAGGGGAGAGGGTAGGTGGGGAGATGGGGAGAGGGGTGGTTAGGTGCGTGGGATGCGTACAGTGGTTGCCAGTAAATGACAGCAGCTTAGTCTAACAGTTTATTTCAACTCGCCCAATAAATTCTAATTATTTATTTAGTTAGTTAGTTGAATTAAACTTGGAGCTAAAAAAAAATGGTCTTTAGCTTTGTAATTTTAAAAACTCAAATTCCGCATTCTTTGGAGTTTTTGACAATGCCTATCAAGATTAAAGATTATAAAGATATATTAGTTGCAGTGAATAAGTCTTTAATATTGAGCAAAACCAAATTAGCTGTTTAAGCCTAGGTTTGAGTTCTACTTTCCATAAGTATTCTTATTAACGAGAGACCACTGTACTTTATGACTCTTGTTGTCGTTGTTGTTGTAGTTGCTTTTGTGTTTTGGGTTGAGTTTATGTGGCGTTAGTTGAAATGCAGACGTTTTGCATTGTTGTACAGTGGGT